CTCACGACAGGTTGAGATAGATAACAATATGAACTTGGGGCAGGTTTGGCCATTTCTTGTATTTTCAATAAATTCAGATGTGCAACGCTCCCAGCCTATTTCATTCCACTGGACCTTGCTTGTATTGGATACAGAAGCAGGAAATGGATCCATTACAACTCTTTCAAACCACGAAGTGGAATTGTGAACAAGTTTTTTGAGGATGCAAAAATATTGGTAAGTTAATAAAATCTGAACAACCAACATTGTTTGATATATTTTCAATGTACAACATTAACAATATTTTATTATAGCAAAAAGACTAGGTGGAGACGGCATCCAAAGAAGGACAAAGGAAGTCATTGAAGACAAATGATGAAATTGTTATCAGCACACTAGACATCAAATGTCCACTATCTTCATATAAAAAATGCCTTCAACAACGAGTTGACACGTATGGAAATAATAAAATAGTATACATTTAACTATATTAAATTAAATCTCATTAACAAAAATACATGAATATAGGATCGACTGCAGATTGTACGTGTGTTACTGAATGCAGTAGCTTGCTTGTGAACAACAAATAGAAGAGAAATTGAAACCACCTCAACCGAACGCTCTTCGGATCGATATGGTCTCTACATTCATAAACTATAAGAATGCATAGACTATTAAAGATTACAAGACAAAAACAAGATTGAGAAAGAGATACAAAGACAAACAGGAAATACTAATGTGTGGGATAATTATTCATTTTTATACTAATTGCAAGATTGGTTAGAAAATTGGTTGTAATTGTTGGGTGGTTAATATTTGGTTATAAATTGGTTGTAATTGTTAGGTGGTTGATATTTGATTATAATGGAATGTTTGTAAAACAAAGGAAACTCTATCTACATTATTATTCAAATAGTAACTCAAATAGTAACATGTATAAAAATTGTTCCATATTAGAAATTCTATATGATTCTAGAATGATGAAATGAAGTTGTTAGTGGAATGTAAATGTTGTTATCCGCATGGCTGGGTATTGTTTATATAATTTCTTTGAAAACGGTTGAAAACTCTTTCATGCTTGGTTATCCAAGCAAAGTAACGTGTGTGGTAACATGATTTAAATTTCTCCAAATTAAACAATCACATAAAATCCTTGTTAAAAAGTAACATTAGTTACTCTCTAACATGAGCATTATATAGTAACATTGGAGTCACATTAACAGTAACACGAAACTTATATTGATCATGCAAGGATAATACTACACTATTAGTTTATCACACTTTTTAACCTGTGATATTCTCAATGTGTAACATGACAAACACAAATAGTTGAAAAAAAAAGTAACATCTTATTCCAAAAAAACATCCTCCAAATTACAATGGCTCGTTACAAGTCTTCTTATTATGACTACCTAAACGGCCACAACGGCTATAATGAATTTTCCTAACAAGCTTACCTCTAGATCTAAATCTACGCTTCCTTGGATGGCCCGGTTGTTTTTTTGACAATAAGGGCAACATATCAACGTTAACCACTGAAAAGTCAAAACGACCGAGTGTTAGAATAGGGTGTATAGGCTCAGAATTACACAATCTGTAAGTAGTTACCTGATAATAGTAATTAACAAACTCATTGATGTTTCTACCATTCTTTTGAATTGTAGCCACAAAATGGGCAGATGGTAAACCGTTGATCTGTCATTGGTGGTATGAGTAAGTGAAACTATCAATGTCAATCGTCACTGAAGGATGTGAATTAACCTTGAAAACATGACTTGATGACACCCTAACAAACCAAGAATGACACTCAATGAAAGCAGCTTAAAGTTTGGATTTAATATTTGGACAATTAATGTCGTTCCACTGTGACAATGTATTCAAGCGGCAGCCCATTTGTTTCATGATCTGCCCCCTTATTGTGTCAATCATGCTTGTAACAGGTAAGTGACGTGACTTTGTGATCTAAGCATTGAATGACTCGGCAGTATTTGAAGACAACCCCCCATAATGTTTCCCCTTGAAAAAAACATTCACTCATTTCTCAAATATAAGGTTTTCCAAGAACTTATCAGCAACGACTCCTCCTTCACGTCAAAAATCATCAAGCTTTTCATTGAAAAATGCCTATGTCAGAGCATAAGCATACAATGTAAACAAAAAAATCATACGCTCACGGAACACATGGGTAAAGCGGCCCCATTATACTTATCCCTCATATTTGCTTTTAGGTGTTGTAGGCAGAACGAATGGTGCACCGTTAGGAACACCTTTTGCATTGCTTCCATCAAGCCAACATTGCGATCGGACATATTGGTAAGGTCCCTAGTATTATCAACAATCTCAGCTAATTGTTCTAAAAATCAACGTCAATTACACTCATTCTCCGAATCAACAACAACAATAGCCAAGGGGAACAAACTTGCAATACGTATAACAACACAAAACAGTAACATAAGTAAACAGTAACATAAATACAAATATTAAAATGTAACATTAAAATAAAATCAGTAACACCAAAATAAACCAAAAAAATCACCTTGTTTCCCATCTTTTGTAGTTGCAGACAAAATAATGTCTTTATATATTCCCTTTAAAAATGTACCATCAATGAGACAGTAGTTAAATCCATGTATACATGTCTTAAATGACATGAACAACCTACTAAAACACCGCATGTCCGAATCACCTTTCATCACAAAAAATGACTACCTAGATTGCTTTTATTAACGACATGTACATACCACCATAATTGACAACAAATGATCCCCAAACAGCATACCCCTTGTTTTTTCAACACCCATCCAATCTTGATCATACGATATGGTCAAAGCATAATTTGTATGAAACATATTTTTCACACCAATTGGTTGTGTGTCAAGTTTTTGTCGGACATTGTCAACAATAAGACCTCCAACCAAATTAGAAGTCAATCTTTTGTTCTTTGTCATACGTGCAGCCACACCGCACGTGTGCTCTTTGTTTAACTTCTTAATGTAAAATCATTCATTTATCCGTTGGAGTGTAGCAACAAGAAATCACTCACACCCAGTAGAATATTTAATTACACATTCAGCCTTCACCCTTGCTTTTTCATTCTTCACATAATTAAACTAAAAATCAACCTTAATTGCATATTTGCATAAAGCATTCCGAAAATCAGCTACTCCTATCTCAAACTTCTGGTCAACCTCTACTATTCCATTAGATCATCCATCAGTCAACAAAACCTTCTCATTGTGAGAACAAAAACGAGGGAGAAGATCATCCTAGCGACCAATAGGATCAATAATTAATTCAGAACTTTTCACAACTTTCTCACCCTCAAAATCACGAACCACATTCCCTTTAACAACAACTATAACTTCAACAAAATTCAACTGAACAGATCATGCAATTAGAAACATGTTTCTCATATCATGATCATTTTGTAAAACGCAATTCGGGTGTCCAAGAATAGCGTACGACAGGCAACACAATTGGAACTCAACCCATTCCAATTGTCACACACCCCATGTAACAAATCATCCATTGTGGAATTCATTGTAATTCTTAGCACAACAATCTCAGAACAATACTTGCAACAAACCAATATATTATCCTCCATCTGTTATAACCAATAAAACAAATATAAAGAGAAAATGAAAATAGAAAAACAAACATAATCAATTCTAATTGCAATACAACACAAACAAGAACATGAAAAAATAAAATTAGAACCTTATTTAAAAAAAAAAAGCCGCTAAATAACGTCGCAATACGAACACCTGTAAGTAACATTAAATTTTGGCAAGAACAAAAAAAAACGAAAATAATTAATTCTAATTCTAATAAAGCACTACCAGTAACATGAAAAACAAAACTTAGAACCTAATTTCAAAAAAAAATTAAATAACTCCGATAAATAACGTTGAAATGCAAAATTCCGATAAGTAACATCGAATGTCTGGCAAAGTAACTTCCAATTTACAGTAATTTCAAAGCAGCACTGTTAATCATGTTATGTAAAAAAAGTCAATTAAAGTGAAAATACCTCCGAAAATCAAGAACTAGTAGGTTGAACTGAAATCACATAAAAATTCGAACTCCTGTTACTGTTGCTATCACCTTCGACACTCCTGTAAAATAAAAATAAAGTAGCGGTATGTTATGAAGAAGAAGAACACCGCATATTTCTTGAGAAATTTCAAAAACGTTTAGATTTACTGTGATTCAGCACCTTGTGTAACAAAAAAACGTATTTTAAGTGATTCAAATTTTGAATTTGAATTTGAATTATTAATGTAATCTTATGATCTGAATTTGAATTAAAAGACCACAGATTTTGACGTAATTCAAGCATTATAATAAGATATATTTAGTTTCCATAAAAAACTGATCATTCTGTTGGTATATATATATAATATATGACTTTCCATAGTTGACCAAACTTAACACCGTTAAGGGTGATTTTGAAAAAAAAAAAAAAAAAAGGTGGACTTAAGTTATTACATATAATTTAAACATGGACTTAACCCCTTATAAGTTTTCTTACCAGACCTATTTTCAAACAAATACATCTAAGGGACTCACTTCCAATTTTCACTACAATTTACCCTTATTATTACTGTACCTAGAGTGCAAAATTTATTCTTATAATCGGAAGTCATTGGATGATCATGCAGCTGTTTGTTATTTGTAGTTTGGAGGCCCACTGGAAAAATTTTGTGAATTTTCTGTTTGATACCATGGAGGGTGGTTAAGTGGTCCTCGCATTAGTGCTCCAAATAAAGTACAACCAAATTAATTGACCTCCCCTAAAAAATAAAAAATATTGCAGTGATTGATGGCAGTTCTTAAAATTAATTCAATCCTTCTCTCTTTATTGTGAGTTTTATGACATTCCAATCCTACATCATTGTTGCAAACAATTTCTTCAAAATTCTCCACTAAGAAGCAGAGATCAAAATTTACACATGGGAGTTGATATTCAGCCCCATTCCAATGAAGTTATCAAACAATCAGCCACTCCCATGGTCATCCCTTCAACAATTTTTAATCATCTGTTCTTCCTCACCATAGCATTGATCCAAAGAAGTGGAGAATCCAAACACATCAGTTCTGGGTGTTTTTGTAGCTTCATCATTACAAGTATCTTCATCCTCTTCAGGTATGGATGGCGGTGGAGATGAAAAGTCCAGGCAGATTCCCCTTATTAAATCCTCATAGGATGCAGAGAGATCTTGAGAGTTGAGCTGGTGGTACTCCACAAGATTGTGAAGGCATTGGTTTTCCCTAGTTAAGTTTGCATTCTCATTTGCTAATCTGGACTTCTCAGCTAGGAGTGCCTCCAATTGAAGCCTTACCTGTCCCAGTAAACATGCTACATTATTAAAATTTGAACATTATTCTAGATCAAAAACACGAAAAAAAAAATATTGAATGCACCAAATTTTTGCATGTACATTATTCTACCCCATGCTTGCTTTTTCATTTGCCTGCTTTACAAGTGATATGTCGTGTCTTGGAGCCCGGAAATCAATCTCTCAAAAATGGGCCGAAGTTGTCCTTCTTTTGAACCCTTTCAATTTCAAGTCCCTCCATAGCACATCGAGGGGGGGGGGGGTCTATGGAGGCTTCTTTTTTGGCTCATTGTTTGTCAAATGGTTACAACTCATTCAAATCGGTTTCAATATTTACAAGATTTTCTCTTAACAGCAAAATTACAACATGTTTTTCTATGAATTGAGTGAAAAATTAAATGATCGAACTTATAGCAATTAGTTAAAAGGAGTGAGATTATGAAGATACCAGATCATCTTCGTCAGGCCTCATTCCTCTGGAAAAACCTTCACGAAGCCTCCTATTCTCCTCCTCAATAAGAGCACACCGCTCTTGCATAAAACCTAAATCTGATTTTATTGATTTCAATTCTCTTGCAAGTGAAGCCGCTCTGGTCGCCATGGAAATTGCAAGCTACAACAAGAGATAAAAACAATAAGCAATTGACACAAACTCCTTAAAATCTATACTCTTCAAGCATTGCAGATCAAACAGAGAAACTAACATTCTTGGCTTTCTTCAGGTTTCCCAAAGCATTCTGGCTCTTCCCATTCTCTTTTGGTGAATCATCCTCCCCCTGAGACCATTCTTTAGAGTCAAATTTCCTTTTCAATCGTCTATTGTTATCTTCATTCTTTTCTTCTTCTCTATTTGATTGTTCTTCACCATTGGCCTTCTCCGAAATGTTGTGAACCATATCAGTGAATGTGGGTGGCCTAGTAAGATCTCTTGTTCCCTGGGAAACAGAGGTCACATGGAATATTATCAAAATCATAATTTTCTCAAAAATTCAAACTACCTACTCTGTAGACAAATTTATAGCAACAAAATTGGTGGTATCCGCTATCATCTGTAATAAACAACTTTCAGAACCCTATTTCTGAGAAGAACAATAAACCCTATACAGTAAATATGTATGCCTGTGTGTGTGTGTGTGTGTGTGAGAGAGAGAGAGAGAGAGAGAGAGTAATCGAAATAATCCCAATTCAAGATAAGGACAGTTAAACTTCCGATGATCGAGAAGAGTTTGTCTTGGTACCTGAAGGGCATTCTCCAGATTGTGAGACAGCTGAGACAAGGAATAGCCAACAGAGTCAAACCCTCTGAGAAGAAGCAAAGAGTCCTCCTTCAGACGCTTTGCGCGGTCCGCTCCTCCACCACCATTCTATTAACGATTTTCAACACCAACCGTCAGTTCATCTTAAAGAAAGAGATGATCATCAACTAAAATTCAAAGAAAAATCAGGCAAAGACTCTGATACTCACAATTTGGGTGGACAAAGATAGATCAATAGGTTTCCGACTCTCGAGAAGCGTGTCGATACGGCTACGGAGAGTGCTCCAGAAGCGCTTATCTGATGATGGACTGAACATTGGAGATGAAACCATCAAGCATGTAGATCCCTGTGATTTGGTTTTTAATTAGTATGTTGAGATCTAATACATGTAATTATGGATTCGAATTTGACACTGCAATTAGGGTTTAAATCGACTAGATTCAGTGGAATTTATTCAGTGAAGAGTTTGAGAAAGCAAACCTTAATGAAAGTATCAGGAGACGATGATTCCATTGAGGTTGCCATGAGATCCCCTTTTGGATTCAGAGAGAGAAAATGAAAAGGTTGAGAGAGAGAGTGTGAGAAAGCAGAGATTGCAACGGCTAGTTTGAGAGAGCTTAGTAATGAGGAAGTTTAAATAGGTGCGCGGATGACGCCAACGTTCTAATTATCTGAAGTGGACTTTCAGTGTACTGCTTTAGACCATAGTACCGTACATTGTAAAATTGGCATTGCCTTTTCCCTTGGATTTATTAAGATCAATGGCTGATAGTCTACCAGCCTTTTTTTCTTTTTTTCCTTTTTTAAAGTTAATTTACCCTTCTCCTAAAATACCCTACTCTCAATATAGAGGATTTACTTTTTACTAAACAAAGAAAGAATTAGTTAAGACGTATATAAACTATTTGAACACTCTAGATCATTGAACAAAAAAACAAAAAGAATTACCGAAATTTCAATCTGTTTGCTCTCACCATCACTAATGTATATTACTTAGGTCACTAAAGTCTAATTAACATTATTTTTTCTTTTCTTTTCTTTTTTATTAGTTTAACAGTTAAAGATATTTAAATTAATTTATTAACACCTTAATTAATCCCTTATTCGATTAAATTATAGGCAAATCATTCAACTTAAATTAGAATATTTATAAAAAAATAAATCTCACCCTAACATTGGCAAAAGAGTTGTTTCAATTTAGTGTTATAGGATACTGTTAAGGGTGTTCAAATTTTCAATTGGTCGTAATTTCTTATCCTATCCGATCCGACTCTTACCCTACCCCTATTGAACGGCTTGCCGCAAAAATCGAATAAGAATACGAAAGAGTTTTTAGTCTTTCGATTAAATTGGGTAGAAATGCAGAATACCTATCAATTTTCGCATTTCTACCCTATCATATCCGCAAAAAATATATTTAATTTTTTTATATTTTTTTTAATAATTATAAAAGTATTTGTGTGGTATAATTTATATTATAACATGTGGATGTTTGAGTTGCCAAAATATGGACTTGTTTTGTGTAGGTTATATGATTTGTGGTGATCTATTGGAGCAGTTATGATTTTAATGTGTTTCATATGGTTTAAAATTAAAATAATTATTATTACATTTGTGTAACATTTATGATGGATTGATGTTCATATTTTTTTTATGTTTTGTTGTAATTGTTGTTGTAGTTGTTTTATATTTTAGTGTTATTGATTTATTGTTTTTAAATTGATACATCTTATTTAATTGAATTGTTAAAATAATTCAAAATTTAATAGTTATAAAAATATTTATTCAACTTCCTATCTGATTAATCAAGTAGAAAGTTGGATAAAAATATCAAATTTAATCGGATAGGATACGAAAAAAAAAATTTATACGAAGTATTAAGTAGAAATACCAAATAACCGGAGGATAAGGAACGCCCCCAGATACAATTTGTAAAAGGTCGTTATAAAATGCGGCCTCAAAACCTTTTTATCGTTGCATCAAAAATTGGTTGGCTCTGACAAGAGATCAAGCACAAAGTGCAACACTCTATGGCTACTCTTGCTCCCTCATCCTCTCTCCGCTTCACTTCTCCATCCTCCAATCTTTCTCCGCCTTCACTCACTTCAATTCCACGCTTATCACTCTTTTCCTCCCCCTCCTCCTCCTCCTCTGCTTACCCTCATTCTCTCTCTTCCTCTCTCTCCATCTCTCCCCCTTTCCTCACTTGCCCCACAAGTTCCAGACCACTTTCTCTCTCCTCCTTCACTGTGAAGGCCAGTTCTGCGGATAAAAAGAAGGTTCTCATAGTCAATACCAACAGTGGTGCGCATGCAGTCATTGGCTTCTACTTTGCAAAAAACCTTCTGGGTTCTGGCCATGAAGTCACCATAATGACCGTTGGTGAAGAGAGCTCAGACAAGATGAAAAAGCCTCCGTTCAATAGATTCTCCGTAAACATTTCAACATCATAAACATACAAATGGGCACACACACACACACGGCTAAATTAATTTACACGAATACTCAATTTTTGTTTCATTCTTTGTGTTCTATGGTGGGTATCTTGAAACTTTTGAAATCTAACAAAGATACTTATCATTTACAAAAAAAAAAAAAAATACATACATACATACTTATCTGGGTATTTGATACTTTTTCAGGAAATAGCAAGCGCTGGTGGCCGGACGGTATGGGGGGATCCCGTAGAACTTGAGAAGGTTTTGAAGGGGGCAGCTTTTGATGTAGTGTTGGATAACAATGGCAAGGACTTGGATACAGTGAGGTTTGTTGCTTTTGACATTTGAAAATTGGATTTCGAATCACAGAGTTTCTGATTAGCCTTATACAATGTCATGTCACTCTAGCTATTCTTCTTTGGAGAAGTAGGAGCTTTTGATTGATTATTTGGGCTTTAAAATTACCATCAAACTTTAAAGGCGGGCTTACATGCTTAATATACTATTTCAAACAGGAAGTCTTTTTTTTGATAAGCAAAAATGGGGTGGGGGCAAAGAGAGAGCGTCTAGAGACCATGTGATAGGCCATTATTGGTGAGATCATAAGGCTTTTAACTACGCCCGTTACTTCTCTCGGCAACTAATCTAGATTAATATAGCAGTCAACCACCGAACCCAAAGTAAATTCCAAAACTCGAACTTTCAAGCTCAGAGTAAGAAGTTCAGCCGGGACTCCACTGGACCACCCCACTCGGTGGTTCAAACAGGAATTCGATGTAAAAAGTTCTATGCTAGATACCTTCCACTTCACCAACACATCCCCTTTTGGTCTTTTCATGAATTTTGAACTCGGGAATGCCCAAATTGTGGTTACTACTGACTTGACAAGGTGAAGCACCTTCAAAACCTAACAATCTTGTAACTGTTGGCTGGGTCTGCCTTCGGTTCTAGGGTAGTAAGCTTCAAGTGAAACTAAAAGCTAAACGAACCTTAGTATTACGAGGGGTTAGTTGGGGGTTATCTGCTCACGTGTGCGTGCTATCTTTATATAACATATTCTCTATTAATCAGTATTTATTCATAGGCCCGTGGCAGATTGGGCCAAGAGTTCTGGGGCAAAGCAATTTCTGTATATCAGCAGTGCTGGAATTTACAAGCCAACGGACGAGCCTCCTCATGTTGAAGGGGTATGTTCTCGGTTTACACAACCAATTGCAATGAAAAAAAGGCAGCATTTGCTTCAGTAAAGGAGACTCTTTCTGTCACAGGACATTGTTAAAGCTGATGCTAGTCATGTTGGAGCAGAGCAGTACATCTCAGAGATTTTCGGTAGTTGGGCGATATTCCGTCCACAGTACATGATTGGCTCAGGAAACAACAAAGATTGTGAGGAGTGGTTCTTTGATCGTAAGTTCATAATTTGAGCAATTTTTTCATCTTATATTGTCTAGAAACTAAAACAGCTATCGATCAACTTTTAATATGCTTGGAGCAAATAGAGGCATTTAGTAACTTTTTTAATTACTTTTGTTTCCTTTTTTTTTTTATGTACTGTTGTTAAGTAGTGTATGTTTTTGCGTACTTGCTTTTGTGCATTTTCGGATTTATTCCCATCTTCCAAACTTAATTGCATATATAGTAATATATATGTGTGCATTATTTGTGTTAAGATTCATATAGATCATTTTAATTGTACAATGATGAAATGTGTTTTTGTTTTCATGGCAAGATGATTTTTGCTTCAAAAAGTTGCTTAAAAAAATATTACCAAACAGTAGCTTATTTTTCAAAACTTTCCTATGTGGCTTTTTACCGGTTCTCTTCACCTTCCAAGTTATTGCTCTCTAACCTTATAGATGTAATGCTTGTGGATATAGATGCGGTTTTAATCGCTGCAGAAAAGGGTTTTGTATCAAAATCAAAAGCAAGGTGATGTATACAAGAAACTATCAAACATTTTTCACTGTTGAAAAGGATTTCAATTCAAAACTAAGTATGTCTAGCATGATCACTTGTCACACAATGTTCCTGCCTTTGCATTCTATTGATTTGAAATTCACAAACTCTAAACAGGAATTGTTCGAGGCAGACCAGTCCCAATCCCTGGCTCTGGAATGCAATTAACGAATATATCCCATGTTAGGGATTTATCGTCCATGCTTACTTTGGCAGTTGAGAATCCAGATGCTGCAAGTGGCAAAATCTTCAACTGTGTTAGCGACCATGCTGTGACACTCGATGGAATGGCCAAACTATGTGCTAAAGCTGCTGGCTACCCCGTTGAGATTGTGCATTATGATCCAAAAGCTGTTGGAATCAACGACGCAAAGAAAGCCTTCCCTTTCCGTAATATGGTATAAAGATTTCTTCTTGTTGACATCCAAAGGATAAGAAACATGAAAAAAAAAAAAAAAAGAGCACAAACACTTTTATTCATCACACAGACACTTGAAATATCAGGGACACTCTTCCAACTCTTTCAAGTGTATAATGGTCCATATGATTGCTGTACTTTTTTGCAGCATTTTTACGCAGAGCCAAGAGCTGCCAAGGATATTCTTGGATGGTGTGGTACCACAAATCTTCCAGAAGACTTGAAGGAACGCTTTGAGGAGTATGTGAAGATTGGAAGAGACAAGAAGCCCATGAAATTTGAGATAGACGATAAGATACTAGAATCGTTGAAACTGAAAGTGCCAGTATCTGTTTGATAAACCTTCATGCCTCTCGTGTTAAAGGAGAAAGAGATGAAGTTTTGTGTCGCGCTCTCCAAAAGAAATTTAATAAATGTTGATTGGAAGTCAGAACCGTTGTAGATACCATGGAATTGTACTAAACATTCTTCTTACCTTGCCACTCTGTTTTACAGGATATTATATCACAGAGACCATGATAAAGTTCATTTATAGCTTCTGGCTCATTACTGCTACTTAGCATCAATTTTACAGCACTATCCATACAATCTCATACCTTTGATAACCACCAGCATGGTAGCTATAACCATAAAAAAAAAAAAAAAAAAAACCAACACCACATTGCTCAACATTATCCGGAGACAAATCCAGTTCCCAAGTACAGTAATGCATAATTCGTCCTGAAGTCTGAAAGGCAAATATAAAAACAACAGAATCTTCCCAGTACTAACCTACTAATGGATTACAGTAACTGCCTACCCACTGCAGCAGGACTAAGTTTACACATTGAACTCTGTTAGTCCATATCCTATCACAACAAAATGAGAACTAGAGAAGTTTCGAAGAAAATGATGCGAAGCCCGCACACCTGACAAATCGAACCTCTATGCATCGTGCTTGATATCAAGGCCCTTTAGTTTGAATTCCAACTGTTCCTCATTATCAGCACTCTCCTCTTCAGCCTCTTCATCGTAGTCTTCTCCTTCGGGATCATTCTCATCCATAGGACCAAGCACATCTGGGGAACTCTTAAACATCTTTTTCACCTCATCAACCCCTTCATCAGATATGAAGTTACCATTAATGTTTAGCAACTTCAAACCTGGTTTGCTTACAACAGACTGAGCCAGGCACCTGGCCCCGGCCCTCCTTATTGAGTTGGTGCTTAGATCAACTTCATTCAACTGGTCATGCCCATCTTCTAACACCTTGGCAATCAAAATAGCACCCTCATCTTTCAATTCATTCTCCGCTAAGTTCAATTTTGTGAGAAACTGTTTGACAGCTATACAGGCTACCAAAGCAGGAACAGCATCTACAGTGATGTCATTTCCAGCCATCTCCAAAACTTCAAGTGAAGGAGCAGACTCCTTGAGAGCATTAGCAAGAGCTATGGCCCCCTCATCCTCCAGATTCAAATAACTGAGATAGACTTCTGTGAGATTGGCAAATACAGATATTGCATTACTCAAAGCAACTCCAGCTTCCACACCAAACATATTGTCACGCAAATCAAGCTTCTTCAGATGGGTGCATGTTCCAAGTGCTTCAGCAAGGGCAACACCACCTTCAGAGTCAACCCTTGTAGAAGAACACCGAAAATCCTCCAGCACAGGAGAATTCTTCACAAGTTCAGAAATGGCAATTGCCCCTTCATCTCCAGTCATATTGTTATGGAATTGAAGGACCCTAAGTCTCTCGGTTGAAGGAATTAGCTCACACACTGCTCGTGCAGCTTCCTCTGAGATACCATCATTCATCAGATAGAGCTCCTCCAAATGACTTTGTGACTTTAGGAGCCCCCCAAATGCCCGTACACCTTTTTCACCCAAGGCGTTGTTGGAAAGGTTCAAATACCTCAGTTCACAACCTTCAAGGGCGGATGAAAATATATACATGACTTCAAGAGCTTCTGTCTCTGGCCTTCCTGCGATAAAATCTGATAGGTCTACTTCTGTCAACTGATCCTTGAGAGATGACAAAATGGGCTCAGCAACACGGGCTGCATCCAACCCAAAACTCCTATTGCTAAAACAAATCTTTGTATATTTATTTCCAGGCTCCCTTAGTGACTTTAACAGCTCCTCAGCCTCCCCTGCATCAATGAAAGCCCGGCGACCTCCGGATATATCAAAAATATTTTCATGAGACACCTTAGCTTTCTCAGATACCACAAGTTCTCCATCCTCCTTTGTTCTAGGGCCTCTTCTTACAACTTCCAGCATAAGTTTACTGGACTCTTTAGCATAAAGTTGCACTGCAGAACTTCCATCACCATCTGGTTCCTTCTCAAAGTGTTGGTTTGCAGTAGCAAAAGCCACAACTTCTATTTGCTTGGCATCCTCCTCAGCTTCTTCTTTACTCAGAAGACCATACTTTCTGGATAAAATGGATGGTGTGGTAAGATTCGTGGTCATTCTCTCCACAAGCATTAACCTGGTACTTTGGCTAGGGGGCCACAGTTTAATTGACATACGGTTTCTGGCTGCAAAATCCATGTCAAAGCAACCTGAAACCATGCAGAGCATTTATATTATAAGCTTAAAACAAAATTAAAATCCATTCAGGATTTTATATAAAAAAAAAAGGTAGTGGGCAATGATAATTCATACGTGGCCACAATTTTGAAAACTGACATTTTAATCAATCCAAAGGTTCTTTAAATTCCATATCAGAGAAAAGACTATAAGTTAACTGTTAACCAGCATACATGTCATTGTCAATCACCAATCTTTATTGTAAATTCTCATTGTTGTGAATGTGACCACAAAAAGCATCCATAGCTACCGACCCCAACTCCCCTCCCTAACAACACACGAAACAATAACATACTACAAGAAGAAAGTGCCACTTATGCACGAATCCTTGAACAATTAATCATAGTAATTTCATTTTGAGTCAACAAATTCAATGTTCTTACAACACCAGTACTTTTCCCTGAGAGACGAATAAACTAACAATAAGAAGAAAAACAAAAACAAATAAACACAAAGAGGTAACTTGAAAGGAAGCATTAACAAATGCAAAAAATTATCCAACCACAGGGTAGGGTACTTAATATAGCATTAATAAGAAGAAAAACAAAAACAAATAAACAAAAAGAGGTAACTTGAAAGGAAGTATTAACAAATGCAAAAAATTATCCAACCACAGGGTAGGGTACTTAATATAGCATTAGTGGCCATAATAGAAACAATGGAAAAAAACTGTACAAGACCCCTTTGCATGCTGGTGCACAGCATGCCATTGGTAATGATTTTATTACGGTGCCACAAATTCGCAAGCTGATCCTAAGTAATCGTTGTTGTTCATTGGATTCCGGAAGAACTACTTCATTAGGATCAGGGAATTGCTTGAGTATGGATCATGCTAAAGAGTAACAATATTGCACAAAATTTCAAATACAAAAGATGGCAAGAATTTACCAATTAGTTTGAGATTTTAAGTGATGGTACCAAGCAAGATTAGTGGCACATTATCACATTGGCCTCTTTTTCACTTCATTGCCTTTTGCATTTCGTGGCAAAAAAAGATAAAAAACCTATAAGACAATTTTGTAAATATGTTATTTGCCTCGAAGCATGTGCTCCTTGAAGTTAATTGTGATGATAATAGTACTGGTAGGAACAGCAGTGCCAGCAGCATCAATTCACCAGCAGAATGAGACATGCCATGGGCTGCTAAAGAGTAGTCATAAAGATGCCAGAGATGATTGTAACTCACAGTGATAACTTAGTTAATGAGAGCATAGCACTATAGGATTCGGATAACATTCCCAGAAACAAAAACAAGAGAACTAGAAGAAAAGAGACTGCTGGATAACAGGTAGGTTCAAGGTAAAACAATTATTAAAAAGGTGTTCTCTACATATCCAAAACAAGTGCGATCAAAAAGAAAACCTGTTCCTGTCCAAATGATGCTTCAACTAAAAAGGAAAATGAAATTTATTTATGTTTTGCAAAGTACAAACAAAAATAATGACTTTGATTTGGAAAATTGAAAACAATAACATTTACTCTGTAAGTTTATTTCCAAGTGAGCCAAAAATTCCAATTGATCAATTCGCTCTTTGCTAAAACCAACATTTAGAAAAACTATCTGTGTTCTGTTATCTCTATATAGGTTATACTTGAGAGCCAGATTGGCCTAATGCAGCCCGGTTGTCATAAATTGTCATAAAAATTACAGAACCATAATGATCCTCAATGAACAATTACAACTTCCCCTTTCTCTCCAAACGATCCAGTAATTAAACAGAACCATGTCTGCCCAATCATTCACACTGTCACTTGGCAACTGGTTTTTGACTTTTTGCCTTACCATAGAGTTTTGTGTTTACCAATGCACTAAATTGCAATCATGCAATTCAAACAATAGCTTTCAACTTACACACCTAATTCGACATTTATAGTTCTTCCTCAATTAAAACAAATTGAGGTATCAAAACAGACACACTAAACAGGCTCAATCCACCAAGAACGTGGAGCAACCAAAAAAGTAAGAGTAGCAATAAAAGGTATATACTCCCATATATCAACACAACCTATGCAAACAATTAACAGCAAATGATAGTGAGAAACAAACCGTGGCAAAGTCATACACAAAACATAGAAACAAATGGGGGATGCAACGTAAACGTCAACCAATATACATCAATCGCCAGAATAAAGATCCTTAAATCACATGCACTAAATTCAGTGCTGGCAACAAATCCGTCATCGGATCTCCAAAAATTAGCGGAAAAACAGAAATAAATTGCTCAAGCACAGTCACATTGAAAAGGAAGAGCGCTATTAAAATTCAGAAAATGAGTGAATTCAAAATATTGAAGTGTTGGGCACCGTACGAGTGAGAGACGAAACCCTAGACCTTCGCAAGAGCACAGATCGAGACCTGTAAACCCTAGAAAACCAAAGAGAAGTCAAGTGTGGTGCGATGAAACGGCCATTAAACTTTTATTTGGGGGTTAGGAAATGGAGGGAAATGAATCACTGATGGACTCAACTCAAAAAAATTATTGGGGGAGCGAAAGCGTAGGTTTCACGTTCACGTTCTCGTTATCTTCAAGACGAAATACCTAAACTACCCCTATGACTGTTCATGGCTGGGCCTCTGGTCAATGGGATTCGAATTGGGCAGTCCGTTTTCGCGTAAGATTGATATAAGATAGACACAACGGGATATGAGTATCTTTTTTTAAATTTATTTAGCTTTAAATATTATTATTAAATTTATCTTCTTTTAAGTCTTTTTTTTTATCAAATTATTGTCAATAAGTACACATTTTAAAATATTTTTAAATTCTTTTTAAATTGTATTTCATAATTATCCTTATCATAAATAGTGCATACCTAATTGGTAACTTTTATATTTTCAATATCTAAATATTAGAATGAGAGACTTTCAAGATTTTTTTTGATATTTGTGTATCATTTAAATTTTAAAATTTCATATATATACACACACACACGTACATATATACACACACATATATAGCTACATCAAAAACACGCTCAACAAAAAAATAATAACATCAATCAATAGTTTAGTTATCACTCTTTATTGACACTACTTGGATACTATCAAACGGGCATTACATAATGCCATTGATTGGACCGTCACTGTCATTATCTCGTGTCTCTCTTTGGTGACACTGTTTGCATGACAATTTTTCAAGTCCCTCTTTAGATACAACTCTTTGAATGGACAAATATATATTATCATTATTTATAGTTAATCTATTGTTGTCACTCTTTACTGACACTGCTAGGGCATTATATGATGTCATTGATTGGACCCACATTGTCATTATCTCGTGTCTCTCTTTAGTGACATTGTTTGCATGACAATTTTTAAAATTCTTTTTTAAGTACAACTTTTTAAGTGGACAAATATATATGTTACTATATATATGTAACAAAGTGTGGAAGATATATAATTTAACAAAGTGCAAAAGACATAGAATCACATATATAACAAAGTGCGGAAGACATAGAATCACAAGGTGTAGATAGATATAAGGACTGGTGATGAATTAAATGTAAAACAGATTTGTTTTCTAAAAGTAAATTCTTTATATTCACAGAATAAAGAAATTACAATACTAAAATATAAAACTAAAATACTTACAACATTAGTTTATTGAACTAGTGGTTGTTGCTTGATAAGAAAGAAGCTCTTCATTTGCATCATTATGAAGGTTAGAATACAATATGAGAGTTAGGGAGAGTAGAGTGTTTACTGGCTTGTAATGAGTCTAATAAGACTTTCGTTTCTGCTAGTGAACACTGAAATCCTTGTATAGGCGTAAGGATTTTCCAGAGAATCCTTGGAATGATTGCTCATGGCTGCTTTAACTCAAGTGGAATGCTTTCACCTTAGCCTTTCGGTGGGAAAGTAGAGGTGAATTCCTTTTACTAAAGTGAATACTGACTTTATGCAGGTGTGAGCCCCTGCTGCTAGCTGAAGGAATTTACTTTCGGTAGAAAAGTAGATTGATTGCTAACTGTTGACTTCTTTATTAGGGGAAAGAACCTGGTATACTGATTGATGCCTTATCGTTATGTGCAACAAACAACTTTTCTTTGTTTTGAGGAGAAAGTAGTGATTGAAACTATCACACATAAAAATAAGTATCAAGGGGTGGTGAGGTCATCGTATCCGTCATAAGGATCTTGGGCATCCTGGAAAGGGTCCATGGATGGGCTAACAGATGCTTCTAACAATGCTGGTGATGACGAACTCTGGCTGGCAGCTTGCTGGAGAAGTTTCTGTGCTAATTCTATTAACTCTAAATACCTCTTCTTTGGTTGCTTACTGGAATCCTTAGAAGAAGATTTTTTCTGCTTTTGTTTTGAAGATTATGTAGACTCTTGTGGTTTTTCTAGAATGGAAACCTAAAGAGCAAGCATAACCTTTTTTGTTGGAGTGACTAGAGGTAAGGTTGTTAGGACCGCTACTGGGGTTGGAACCTTGACTGGGAACTTCTGTTTGACCTGGGCAATGATACGGTCATGCTGGAACCTGGGGCACCGTTTGACATAAAATTGCATGGCAACAGAAATAATTTTTCAATGCCATTTACAGATCCAGGGAACTCTGTATTTACTAATAAATAATAATAAGACTAAAAATTGACTCTCATATTTACTAGGCTTAAAAGCGGATGAGAAGTAAGTTATCTGATCTTGAAGATCAGCTGAAAATATTTCATTAATGAGGCCATAGACAAGCCACCACTGTACGAACCAGGAAGGAATTTGGCTCTTGAAATCTTTACTAAATTGTATGAACCAAGAATGAGTGTAAGACTCATCTTGATAGAGGATAAGTTTAAACCATGACTCTTTGTAGTCATCATAATTAAACTTTCTACTGTGTCCTTGAAGATCTCTAAGTGAAGAAAGGTGAGATCCCCATTCTTTGAGGGAGATGAACTTCAAGATAAATTACTTTACTAGGGTCATTTCTATCAAATATGGGTTTGATAAAAATGGATTGTGTAAAGAATAATATATCCTGATAAAATGAAAAGGTTTTTTCAAGATCAAATAGGATAAAGGTTCATCCAAGTTCAAGGTAAGTATTGACAAGATCAATTGGGTTGCTTAGGTGAGCATGGACTGGTTCAATGACAAATACGTTATGGGCTACTACCTTTTTAATATATTATGTCTTTGGACCTTTGTGGGCCAGTTTTGAAGAGTATTGTGGATATGGGTTAACTAGCTGGTCATGTTTAGTCGAGGATATGGGTTGAGCCATATATGGGCTAAATGAGCTAATTGGGCGTTATTGGGCCATTTAAAGGAATGTACTTGGGTTTACTATGGTAGATTGGGCTACTGGCCTTACTGGGTTATCAAGGGGTTGGTAACGATTTGTTATTGCAATTGCAATGCTTTGGCTAGGCAATTGGCTGGGTTTTGGATTTGGACTAGGTAAGACTAATTGTTTTCTAGTATCCCTCCCGGTTTGGAAGAGGAACTAGGCTTACTATTTTTCCTGTTCGCCATGAGGTTCCTGCAGAAATTCACGGGTTAGAAAATCAGGGATACAGTTATTACTGCCTTTAATATACCCGATGTCAAAATCAAAAGTACTTAAAATAGATTATCATCTAGCAAAAATATGTTTACTAGCAATGTTTTGTACATCTTTTTCTTAAACATATTTTGTTGATTTACAATCTACTCTTATTAAGAATTTTTGATTTAATATATCATCCTAGAATTTAGAAATACACAGGACAATAGCTAAGATTTCTTTTTTAATAGTACTATAATTTGCCTATGCTTTATTCCAAATTCCAGTGTGGAAATGAACAATTTGCTCTGGGGAGTCTGGAGTGACTCTTTATAAGAGGATACCACCGTAGCCAATGTCGAAAATATCAGTTTGGATGATTTTAAATGAATCAACTGAAGGAATATTAAGACAAGACAAAGTTTTGATGAATTGCTTGACTTGTTTAACTATGAAAGTATGGACTGAAGACCAAGGAGGAGGATTTCTTTTGAGTCTATCATACAGAGGTTTAACGATTTTTCTAAGATTTTGATAGCAGTCAGAAACATAATTTAAGGAACCTAAGAACCTTTGTAACTGAGTTTTATCAGTTATCTCATTAGGGAACTTATCTGCAAATTAGATAGATCTGCTGATGGGAATAATGATTGACTGTTGGATGTTGTATCCAAGGAACTTAACTGAAGTTTGAAACAACTTAATTTTACTGGCAGAGATGACTAGCCCATTATGCTTGACAATCTCTAAGAATACATTAAGGTGTTTCTAATGTTCTTCTATAGATCTGGAGAAGATAAGTATATCATCTATGTAGACTATAGAAAAATAATTGATACTGTTAAAGATTTCATTCATTATGTTCTAAAATTTACTAGGAGCATTTTTCAATCCAAAAGACATTACATTCCATTCATAATGTTCAAAAGGAGTTGTAAATGCAATTTTATACCTATCTTCTAAGTGGATCTGGATCTACCAGAAATCACTTTTCAAATCAAATTTGAAAATATTACTGAATTACTAAGTTTTTTGATTAAATCCTGCTTGTTTGAAATTGGGTACCTGATCCATTCCAATACAGAATTTAAAGGCTTGTAATTGATTACTAATATTGGTGTGCCTCTTTTTAATTCTGCATTTTTGATAACATAGAAAGTTGGGCATGACCAAGGGGATTTGCTTTTCTTAATGATACCATTTTCGAGTAATTCAGAAATCTCTTTTTTTGTAAATTTTCATTACTTCATGATTCATTTGGATAGGTCTGGATTTAGTTGGAATATTTTTCTCACTAAATCCTCTAATGTAAGGAAGCCTAACCATATGTTTTTTCCTATGCTAGAAAGCTGTAGGAAGCTTAGAACACACTTTTGCTTCTAGTTTTTTCTTAAAATTTTCAATATTTTCAATTAATTGCTAGTTGCTCTTGAATTCTCTTGTGATTGATTTCTTCTTTGAGAAATCTCACCTGATTAGTTTTTTGGTTAATTAGATTAAGATGCTTAGAGATTGAATGATCCATAAGTTGTCTTAATTTTTTAACTTCTGGATTGGTAATAAATCTAAAAGTTACAGAGTGACCAAATGGTTTCGTGGTTACATCACCTGTATCAGTTATAAATGGGTACAATAGATAGACAAGTGGTAAATCAAGAATAACATCGTCAGTCATATCTTGTACTAGGACAAAGGATGTTTTAAAGCATACATTGTCGTGACAGATATGTACATTTGGTAACTTGTATTTAACTTTCATTTTACTACCATTAGCTGAGTTAAGTCTTTCAATGGTTTTTTTTGATAATATTTGGTTGGGATGTTCCTTTCTGGATATAGTTTACATCTGCTCCAGTGTCAATGAAAGCTATGGTATCTAATTCAAAATTATTATCAATTATGATTTTAACTATAGAATGTCATTTTTGAAAATTTATTTTGTTAACCAAATTTATCCTATTATCATCACTAGTTT